CATCATACAATTTAGAGAATCTTTTCTTGGTGTGTGAACTTAAAAGGGGTGCATATATTGTGTTTGGCACCTCAAGAGCTACCATATAATAATTGTCAAAATTTTCATGAATGCAACATTTGTATCTTCTTTTAAATCAACATTTAATCTCACTTCACAATTTTAGTAAAGGCGAAAAAATTCAAATTATCCTCTCTGTTAAAAATGGGAAAGAAAATATAAAATCGAGTGTCGCCATCAAAGAAGAGCACATGTGGGAATAAGAAGAAAATTCTTGATCTTGACTAAATCAAGATGTTGAACTTACTCTAATCTTTGTCACTCAAATTGGTTAGGAACGGTCAATGGACTCGTGGGCCACGCGGAATGGTGTCGAACAGAGGAAAGTATATGCGGGCCCTCCTGGAAACATTTTAGGGGAACGAAAACTGGATGTAATCTTTTACTAATTTTTTTTTTCTTTTTTCGGGGACAAGATACAATCTTTTAATGCATTTTTTATATACTAATATAGTGCACGTGTGTTGGACATGGTCATATTTATTTTATATTATGAATTTCTAAAAATGTGAAATTTCAAGGCTCTTTTTAAAGGTTTAGGATTTATTCTTTAAAACTAAAGCTTTAGTTTATTTCAGCAATTTTTAGTTTATTCTTTAAACTGGAAATTCATTTATTCTTTAAATTTTACAAGTTCTGATGTATTGATAATTTAGGTACTTTTCCTTAAAAAATCATAGTTTTTGGAAGTATTTTGGGTTTTTCTACCAAATTGTTTAGTTTTGTTTTTTTTTCAATAATTTACAAGGTTTGGAAGTCTTTTAGATTTATTCTAAGTTCAGTGGATTTCTCTGCAAAATTTGCATATTCTAGAAACCTCTTGGGTATTTATGAAGATTTTGTAAATTTATGGATTTTTTGCAAAATATATAATTCATTCGGGTGTTCCTGCATTTTTTTTTAAGTTCTTGAAGGGTTTGTTGTAGGTATTTATATTGTAAGAATGGGTGTTAATGGAGGTAAATTTAGAGGGAATAAACGGTCTCTACAGAAGTCTTGATAATTTATCATTAATTCGAAGAGATAACGCAATTCATATAGAATGAAAGCTCTCTTCTATGTCTACATACAACTAAAAGCACCCTAGAGGGGGGAGGGTTGAATAGGGTTATTGCTAATCTTATTAGATATTACTACCGATTAAAACTTATTAACAAATTATTCTTACAAGATAGATATACAATGTGATATGAGCAAGAATATAAACACATAACAAATTATTCTTACAAGATAGATATACAATGTGATATGAGCAAGAATATAAACACAAGAGAAAATAAACAAGAGTGATAGTGTAAACAAATAGTGGACACAAAGAGCAATCCAAACACAATAATATGATCACGGATTTCGGACCTTCTGTCCTACGTCTCCGCTCCCCACTCCAAGGAAGAAATCCACTATCGACACACCTGGTTTGGAAGCCGGAACTTCTCTACACACTCGGTTTTCTAGCTCATCGAAAACTCTACAAGTCACTCACAATTTACATACACAAACTACAACCTCAAGTGTCGGTCCTCACGTCTTCCTCAAGTGCTCGGTTTTACTACCTCTCTCTAGGATTTACTACCGACGCCACTCTTCTTGGTATCGACTACGTCCTCACCACACACTCATCTTGGTGTAAATGTGTATTACAAAGTGATACTCTCACAATAAGGCTCAATTACAAGATTTGTCCTCTTTAATAGATAAGAACACAATTTAGGCTCACTCTTAAGGTTACACTCACCACAACCCCAAATTATACAATATGTGAAAATACTTAAGTTCAATGGTTGTGTGTGCAAGCAATGAGAAAATAAAATCAAACTCAATTAAAGTCTAGCAAATATAAATATAATAATGTAAATGTAAACAAACTAGATAAACGAGTTGAG